CCCCAAAACCCCAAAACCCCAAAACCCCAAAACCCCAAAACCCCAAAACCCCAAAACCCCTACTGACAACATAAGAATAGAATAAATAAAAGTTTGATACTTAATTTGAAATGGAAACAGCTGTTAATGGGCATATCCTTTATAAATATCTAAACTCATTTATTGCATTGTTGGCCAGTTTGCTTCATCCTCTTCTTCAAGGTTGAATGCCTTTTTGGTCGACTTGCTGCCAGTCTCTTTGTTTGCCTCTTCGGTGGCGTCATCTCCCGATTTGAGGAACTCTTGGTCAAGTCTTTTCTCTCCCTTAGTGAAGAGTTCAGTCTTCTTGGCTTCGAGTTCTTCAATTTTAGCTGCCAATTCATCGAAGTGAGCAGGAGTGTTGACTCCGACTTGTCCGAAGTTCTGGATGATTTCGTACTTGAAGTTGAGTTCGTTGGGGTCCTTTGGCTCTCTGACTTCTTCTTGCTTTGGAGCTCTCTTGTTTCTTCTCTTGTTCTTCTTCTTACCGCCTGCTCTGCCTCCGATGATGGTGACTTCTTCTTTTTCTCTTTCTCCCTTGGGTTTGATGAACATGATTCTACCTTCTTCTTCCTGCTTCTTGATTTCTTCAGCATTCTTGGCTAAGTCTTCTTTGGCCTGGGTGTCTTTCTGGACTTTGTTCTCTTTCTGTGTTCTGTCTCTGACCAACTTTTTGCAGAACCTAATGAGGAAGTCACAAGTGGAGATATCTTCTTCGAAAGGATTTGGCATGGCATCTCTCTCAGCTCTTTTGGCTTCTTCGGCCTTCTTCTTGTCTTCTTCAATTTTGAGAAGTGTGTTCTTCCTTCTGTACATCCTGTCGACATGGATGATGCTAGCCTTCTGGCATTCAAACTCATACTTTAGTTTGTAATATTCTTCTCTCGCTTCATCTTTTTTCTTTTCAACTTCTTTGATTTGTTCTCTGATTTTATCCATTTTCTCGTCAAACTTCTTGAGTTCTACTTTCTTGTCTTCAGAGAGTTCCTTCCTCTTTTTGTTTTCAGCACTCATGATGTCAAGTAGGGCATCGATCTGGGAGATTTCATGTCTGAATTTCTTTCATTTCTTGTCAAGATCTCTGGCATTGTTCCAGTTCTCCTTGGTGTCTGGGACCTTCTCCAATTTTTCTACATACTTGATAGACTTTTTGAGGAAATCAATTTCTTTGTAGTATTCTTTTTCTTGCTTGGCGCTGTTGGTCTCAGTCAAAATAAACTTCTCAACATCTTTGATTCTCCTGTTGACTTCTTTGGTAGTTTTGAACTTGGGATTCACATTCTTTTGAAGAGACTTGAACTCTTCCTGTGCTTTCTTGCAGATGGCTTTTTCTTTCTTGGACTTCTCGTCAAGCTCCTTCTTCTGTGCGATGAGAGCTCTCTTTTCTTCAACAAGTTCTTTGAAAGATTTGCCTTCATTCTTGGTTCCTTCAGCATCGGCCTTAGCCTTGCTTTCTTCTCTTCCTCTCTGAAAGACTTCTTCTTTGTCAGCTCTGGTCTTCTTGATCTTTTCGATGAGAGCCTTAATTTCGTCATCGAGCTTCTGCATGCCTTTGATGTATTCATCTTTTGTGGGTTCTTTAAGTCTATCTTCCTTAGCGATCTGTTCTGGCAACTCAGTTTCAAGAGTCACTTCGACTTCTTTGAGTTCTGGCCAAGGACCGAAATGGAACTTGTAGAAGAATGAGTCTTTGGGAGCTTCACTTGGAGCATGGCCTCTTCTTCTATTGTTCTTGTTTCCTTTGTTATCTTTGCCGTCTTTTCTGTTGTGACCACCTTTGGTTTCTTCTTTATTATTGTTGTTATTATCAAACTTTTTGCCACCTCTTCCGAAGCCTCTGCCTCTAGTTGCTCCGTCTTTGTTACCACCTCTGTTGTTACCTCTTCCTCCTCTTCTGGACTTGCCTCTGCTGCCTCTGTTGTTGTCATGGCCTCCAGTGTTCTGTACCTTAGTTTCTTCCATAGATATTTATTTTTATTGACACTCCTAATGGAATGGGGTTTTGGGGTTTTGGGGTTTTGGGGTTTTGGGG